TTTATGATGTTGTGTGTGGTTCAGAAGTGGCCACATGCTGGCGTAGTTTTGCTTTTCTGAGGCTTATCTTCATGGACATCTAATAATCTTGGTGTACACTTAGTCCTTCTGAGAGGACACGGTTTACTTCTGTGACCCTACTCAAGCCAACTAGAGTTTAATGGAAGCAGTGGGAGTTATAAACATTCTGAATTTTAGCCTAGCTCTTGACCATTTTTCAAATGCTTGTACTCCATTTCTCCAATTATCAGAAAGCCAAGCCATTTCAGCTCCATAGGGTACCACTCAGAATGTAATTGAGGTTTGAATAAACAACACATGTGGCTTTTAAGGTTAAACGAATATTGTTTGACATACAGTACACTAGAGTTGTTTTTCATTTTGGTTTTAAAAATTGGTTAAAATTACATCTTGTTGCTTCTCAGAATTAACTAGAATCCATCTGTCTCCATTAGAATCACTGTTTTTGTTTTTGTTTTGTTTTTTGGTTTTTTTTTTTCTTTTTCTTTTTCTTTTTTTTTAAATAAAGCCTTGGCAGAAAAAAGCATCTCCCTCTTAGTCAAGATAATTTGCCCAGTGAATCAGGAAAAAAAAAGCAGCGGACCAGGTTTTCTGGCACTTACTTTTTTTCTTGTATGTATTTTGTCTCTTAGATACACCTGAGGTATAATATCTGAGATGGTAAATGGACAGACCTATTATCAGCTATCTGGACAGACTTTGCCTGGGTCTAGAGAAGCACTTAAAGCTGTATGAAATGGAACATCTAAGAAGATTCTTCCAGTTTAGCTATGGTTCAAATTATATGGAATAACTTCTTACTTAAAGAACATTCCAGCTTAGAGAATGCCATTTGGATGACTTTGAAAGCTCAAAGCCATAAAAATAGTACACATTTGTACTTGAGAATATATATATATGTATTATATATATATGTGTGTGTGTGTGTACACACACACACACACACACACACACACACACATATACAAGTAATGGCTCCAGTCGTTTTTTATGAAGTAAAATAATTCAGATTTAGGCGCACATGCCTATTGGCCATTAAATGCTTAGGTGTTGCGACACTTTCAACTGAACTTGTCTTACAGGATGTTACACAAGTTCATCCTAAAGCCCCATGCTTGTAAGAACCTCTACATCAAGCCCCTATGCTTGATCCTGAGTTGTCTCTCTGCTCACTTAACAGAGACTATATGCTTCGAGATTCTGACTGGACTGTAAGTATTTCAAGACACTATCTAAAAGCCTTTGAAGACTCGAGGGTCTAAATGCAATAAATTGATCTTCTCAGAAGGTCATGTTAAGTATATGTTCCGTGTCAGTACCAATCATTAAATCTACATTTACAAACGCCATTTGGTGCAGAAAGCTAATCTATCATTTTTTCTTTTGTAATTTATTCCCTTTGGGGTCCTTAGATTAGGCTTGAAAATACATCCTATAACTTTTACATTTTGTTCTGCCGTTTGCTGGTGAGTCTCTTCTGGTTTCCAATCTTCTCTCTGGTCCCATATTTTCATCTGGCTCAGGACATTGCTTAGACCCATCACTGCCAGCAGAAACAGAGCAAGTAAATTGAAGTCATCCCCACTCAGTCTCTGTCAAGGGCACTGCCATTTCCCAGCTGTCCAGATTTTGCAACCCTACCATCATTTTACACTGTTTTCTCCTTTGCCGGCCTCTTCTATTATCAAATCTCCCATTGGGATCTTACATTTCCTTTTTATCTGAAGTAGTCTGATTTGCCCCTTCTGCATTATTTTATGGATTCTCAGGCCTGTCACATATTACTACAACAGCTGCTTGGCTGGTTTCCCAGATTCCAGTTGCTCCCCAACTAGGTGACACTCCATTGCCAGGAGAAGCTTCCACAAATACCATTTTTACTGTAGGAGCCTCTGTCTACCTAAAAATTGGTAACAGGATAAAATGTGAATTCTTCAAACCTCTTTCTGAAGTCTACACAACAATCATTTACCACCCTTATATACCTCAACAACCAGTGTCCCTCCCCTCTTGTTTCTTTACCTTCCTCTCCTCTTCACCCACTACTCCCCTCTGTCTCCCTCTTCCTTTCTTTCTCTCCACCATCCTCATTTCTCTTGTTTCATATCTGAACTTTGTAGTCAACCCACACCTTTCTGGATGTCTCCAGTACGTTACTTACTGTTTCCAAAGTTCTGCCCCTTTGCAAATGCCATTCCTTTCGGTTGAGCCACCCGGTGTCCACATCACCATGTGTCCATGCCCTGTACTGTTTACTTCTAAAAACATGACTAATCCTTTTGGGAAGTTTTACATGATTGTTATCTTACTGATCACTTACCTATTCAATATCTCCCAAGCACATAGGTTCATTTGTATTTCAAGTTGTTACTCTGCGTGTGTGTGTGTGTGTGTGTGTGTATGTGTGTTAGGCTGTTTCCTGTGCTGACTTCCTGTCACCTCCAAACATGTTGTAAAGGTCTTGAGAGCAAGGACCCAATCTGATTTCTCTCCTCCTCCTGCCTTAGTATCAGACTTTCCACCCAAGAAGCATCCAATATATATTAACTGACTTTTGGGCATTATTTTCTAGATATAAGCAAAGGTGAAATCATCTTCACTCTTTCAGGGTCAGTCAGGGTTTCCACATAGTCTGGATGCACTCTTTGTCTGCCATCTTTTATTCAGACTTGGAATAACCAGGAAGAAATGAATTTACTATTGGCCAAGTACTTAATTCTGTATTTTTGACTGCAGTTCAATTCAGTACATATATTGAGCACCTGATGTGTACCCAGGAGCATGCTGAGTGCTCCAGTCCAATTATTTTCAAATTCTTGCACACATCAGAATCTCTAGAAGGGCTTGTCAAAACCCAGATCATTGCTCCCTGCCCCACCGAAGAGAGACTAAGTAGGTCTGCGATGGGGTCCCACATTTTGCATTTCTAACGAGTTCCCAGGTAATGCTCATACTGCTGATCCAGAGAACACACTTTGAAAGCGAGTGATCTAAGCAATACAGGGGAATGTATAAGACATGGTCTCTGGTTTCACAGGATTCATGGTCTCTTCAGGAGGACAAGGAAGACTCAGAAATATTTTACAACAGAGGGTGCTGTACAGTGTTTTAGTGTTCATTCAAGAAATATTGAATGAGTACCATGTGCTCAGTGCTCTTCTAGGTGCTGGGGTTATATCAGTGAACAGAATAGACAAAAATCCTTGTTCTCATAGGAGAATTCTAGTGGAGAGAGCAGAAAACAAACAAAACAAACAAACTGTATAAACTATAAGATAGTGTTAAGTGTTAAAAATAAAGGGCCAAGAGGGCAGATAAGAAATATCAGAGGGTCATTGAAATTTTCAATAGGTAGTTACAGAAGACCTCTCAATTCCATCATTTGACACACATTTTATTGAGTGACTCCTATGTGTCAAGCACTGTTCTAGATGATGGTGATACAGCCATGGATAACACAAATAAAAAATCCTGCCCTTATAGAATGAACACACTTATTTGGAAGCCAGGAAATCTGGGGTTTGGGGTGTTAATGCTCATCAACTCATTATGTGACTGTGAATGGCTGCTTGCACTCTCTGAGCCTTTCTCCATCTGTGAAATGGAGCAGTTGGACAAAAATCTGCTTGGACTCCTGTACATCTCTAAGACTATAGGATGCTAAGTCCTTTAGGAAACCAGAAATATGAAAGAGTGCTTAAGGAAGATGTTGTACAGTAGGTGAAACTTAAATTTTTTGCAAAACTGTGCAGGAGGTATGGTTTTGGGAGATGGGAAGATAATTTCAGAAGAATAACATGAGCAAATGCATGGAAGCAAGAACAGGAGCCACATTTTCCATAAAGAGCAAAGGGTCAAAGGGTTCTCATTGTAGAGTAGCCGAGATAGTTGGGAAAGAGGCAGGTACTCCTAAAGATGAGGTGAGGGCTAATTATATACAGTCTCCAACGGGAACACATTGAAGGTTTTGATCAGGGAATGATATGATTACACTATCATTAATCTAGTAACCAGAGTTAAATCTTGACAATTCATAATTTTTTCCATAAGATGATCTTTAAATCATGAAGGGGCTAAAACCATAATTTTGTTATATGTCACTACCTGACGATAATATTGCTATCAAAGGAATTTCGAGGTCCTTTTCAAGTCGTAACAGCCAATTTTCCCTCACAGTACTATCATATCCTTGAACTAGTAACATGTTACTATGTAGACATGGGTTTTGAAAGCTTGGGGGATATATTAAAATAGAAAATTCTTAATGCTGATACTTTTGGGTATTTCTTATTATCCTATGAAGTATATGGTTGATCTGATGCTAATAGTGATACCAAGCTCTTCCCATCACCTTGTTTGGTCATAGATAACACAAGGGAATATCCTTGGAAATTGTCCTTTTGTTTGTGATCTTTCATTGGCTATGGAATATCATCGTCTTGTGCTGTGTTTGTTGTTCTCAAGGCTAAAAGTAGGATCCTCCTCCCAAAAGCAGTTACTCTGGAAGATGGCAGTGATAAGGGTTCACTGTTCAAAGAGTGGACACAGAGACCTAAGCAAAAGTATCTCCAGCAACAATAGATAAGTACATCTTGGATACTGGTTATGTAAACACTCTTAACCACTGCAAGCTTTACCTTAACGTTCAGACCAGGTCATACCTTCTCAGAGACATAATGGTAAATTTAACCAATTATGACAGACCAAATCCTCAACAAAACTCTCATTTTTAAAGGTAGTTTAAACACAAGTTACACATGACCTGCAAAAAACTTATCTGCCATGGGAATAAAATAATCAAAAGGGAGGCTGATGGCTGTATCACAGTGGAAAGTGATTATTTTCCTTTTTGTTTCCCAAATATTGTTAAGTTGTCTGGAGAAATTTGGGATCATAGAACCAAAAATGTTGCTAGGTCACAAGGGTGATGGTTTTCCCTTCTATGTATGTATGACCTTTCCTTATTTTGTAATAAACAGGGGATGGAGAATTGTCGTGGGAACATTCTGATGGTGATATCTTCCGGCAACCTGCCAACAGAGAAGCAGTAAGTGTGAATAGCTCAAATAATTCAACACTCCACAGCACCAGGCCAAACTTTCCTCTCTCCCTGGCTATTATCCCAGCAACTCCATAAAAGGGCCCATTTCTAACACCACTTCTCTTCCCTTTCCTCCGAAAATTAAATTGCACTATCACCAACCTATCGCCACTTAAGTACATTGTACGATTGGTAACCAGAGCCAGGACATGTGCACAAAGAAATCAAAGCCCCCGCCCTCAGGTATCCCCCGTCTAGATCACAAGTTGGTGGACTTTCAGGATGACTTGCCAAATCTCTGTATTCTGGAAGGATGGCAGGTAGCACTACCTCTGTCCTCAACAGTGAGGACCTTCTGTGGGATTGTAAGGTAGGTCCACTCGTCCTTTTGACAGGAGTATTGCAGACATGTTTCCACAAACCCTTTCTGAAGCCTTAGAAAGAGAGGAAACGTAGCAGGCTGGATATTCCTTCCTTCCCCACCCTACAATATCTCATTTCCATGCTCAGTGCTAACCTCATAAAAAGCCTCTCTGTGTATAGCAACAGTACCTCTTCTCCCTTTGTATTTTGAAGTAATTAACAAAATGTAATCCCTCTCTAAAAATCATATGCCTGGGGTACCTGGGTGGCTCAGTCGGTTGAGCATCGGACTTTAGCCCAGGTCATAAATCTCACAGATCTTGAGTTTGAGCCCAGCATCAGGCTCTGAGCTGTCAGCACAGATTCGGATTTGGATTCTGTGTCTCCCTCTTTCTCTGCCCCTCCCCAACTCATACTCTGTCTGTCTGTCTCTCTCTCTCTCAAAAATAAGTAAATCATTAAAGCTTTTTAAAGAAACATATGGCCAAGTACAGCATAAATACCTCAAAATTCTTAAGATCCAGAAAGATGTTCCAGTTCAAGGAATCTATCCTATTGAAGGACTTATAAAAGCGTGCAGAATGTACAAAGGCATGCATGGCACATAAATGTGCATTCATCAAAGCCCCGTACAGAAAAAGTGTACAGGGCATTCAGGGCAGTATTATTTTCATAAGACAAAATAAACAGGCGGCAACTTAACATGAGCAATAGGGGCTTGGTTAAACACACCCCATCTGTGGCACATGGTGCTATTGTTAAAAAAAAGTGCAGGGCATCAAAATGTACTAAGGTGGATGGATCCCCAAGATATATTATGTAAACAAAGCAAGGTGCAGGACACAACTTACACTAGCATTTCCTTATGTAAAACCTGTGTGTGTGCATGTGTGTACATACATATGAAAAGATCTGGGAGGTCCTAAACCAGCATGTTAAGAGTGGTAATCTCAGAGGGGTGGAAGTGGGCAGGAGGACAGGGAGCATTGGATTTTTCACTTCGTCTTTTCTGTATCATTGGCTGTTTTTCAATGAACATTAATTTGCTTTGCAATATATAACATTTATTTTTTAAATGTTCATGTATGTATGTATGTATTGAGAGAGAGAGAGAGAGAGAGGGTGCAAGTGGGAGGGGCAGAGAGAGAGGGAGAGAGAGAGAATCCCAGGCAGGCTTCACACCATCACTGCAGAGCCTGATGCAGGACTCAAACTCACGAACCTTAAGATCATCACCTGAGCCAAAATCAAGAGTCAGATGCTTAACCAACTGAGCCACCCAGGTGCCCCTGTAGGATAAAACATTTAAATAATTTGTATAACCTGTGGAATTATTTCTCAACCAGCATTTTATAGAAGAGAAGAGTCTAGGGAATTACAGGGCAAGCCTGAAGATAGGGAGGGTGTGAGGAAGGTGTTGGTGGGGACATAATAAAATGGCCACTATAAACATCTCAGTGTTGCTTAGGCCATGCTTCCTGGTCATCACGCGTGCCACTCTTGACTTGCCTGCACCCAGCTGGCCAACACCCTCAGCACTGAGTTGAAGTGAAGGCCATTTGCTTTAATTCTTTAATCATATTATTTTCCATACATTGCCGTTTCTGAATGAGTGCAGAAGGATTGTGGGTAGGACGGAGATGAATACTCTGGGTATCTCTTAAAAAAGCAGCACTCCTGTGAGAGATGATGGGCTTCCCAGTTTTTGGGTTAATATGGAGCTGAGGATGAGTGAAATAGGTGATGGGGATTAAGGAGGGCACTTGTCATGATGAGCAGCGGATGATGTATGGAAGTGTTGAAATCACTAGATTGTACACCTGAAACTAATCTTACACCGTATGCTCACTGACTGGAGTTTAAATGAAAACTTTAAAAAAAAGAAAGAAAAAAATGTTTTCTCCATCTAACTCTATCTGCTTTATAGTAAATGAAATTCCTCCCAGATCTGGACAGGAGATGATACCAGTCTCCATTTTCTGTATTGTGAATTTCCTCTTTTTCTCAGCACTCATTTTTTTTTTTTTGTGGTAGAAAGTTGAGAATGACTAAATTAGTGGCTGTCAACCAGATGCCATTCTAACCAAATTTCGTCCTCAGACACCTAAAGCTGGGTGCCCTGGTCCCCAAAGCTAAACATCCGTGGCCAGCTCGGTGGTCCTGCTGGGAATGCCATTAATTAGCCTTTATTCTCGCCCTCATATTTTATGTTGCCTCCAACTCTACCCTGGCCTTTCCCTCTTGTCCTTCTTCCGAAACTGCTGGTGATAGGGCTGAACTTGATCCCATACTTCCTGTAGCAAAAGAGGTCAGGTACAGAATGCAGGGCCTTGAAATCGTTATTGATTTTCAAAGGAGTTCAGGACCTATCTTTAGAAATAAACATTTGGGCCTAGTAGACCAAAATGTCCAGATGGTTCCACTTTATTATAAATAAATATTTTCCTTTGTTCTAAAAGGGGTAGATGTTGTGGGATAGGATTTGAAATAATAAATAGCATCTGTAGTAATAGAAGAATATGTACCTGGCACATAGTAGGCACCCAATAAATCCTTGTTGAGTGAATGGGTGTAGAAGGTGGGGTGAAATATATAGGAGTGGCTTTTCATGAATGTTAATGCACAGGAATTTGTCCCACATCAGAGAGAGATGCTTCACACTTGTTGCTGGCCCTCGAGCAGCCAAAAATCAGAAGGTAGAGAATGCCTTCTGAATACCCTGTGCAGTCTCAGCTTTCTTTATGGGATCAAAAAAGGCAGCCCTCACAGGACACTTTCACTTTAATAGACCATTCCTATTCACAGGGAACCATCCAAACATCAGTTCGACAGAAACACAGAGGATCGCTTCATTTTGCCACATGGGTTGCGAACCATCAGTTTACCAAGTTTCATGAAGTGCACAGGAAGAACCAGTGGCTCAATTGCAGCTCCTTTGTAAAAACCTTAAATGGTTTCTGTTCGGTTTCCAGATCATAATTTCACATGCATTGGTCTTACTACTGTAGAGGTGTGTATGTGTGTGTGTGTGTTTTAGGGAGGGAGAAGTAGACACAGGGTGGAAAGCCAAAACATGAAAGCAAGCATGATTTTGTTTTGGACAACAGCCAACCTCTTGGTTTTGCCCCCGATAGATTACTCGGAGACTTACCATTTGAAAAGTGAAAAATTCAGAGATAGAAACAATAGGGACAGATAAAAATCCACATCTCATCCCTGTTGTCAGAACAATGGTTGGGAAAGGAAACTGGCTCAAGTATCTCCCAGACAGGGATGGTCCCAGGGTTCCAGTGATGAAGATACAGGCACTCAAGGTTGTGTGGATTACAACACATTCTGAGGACAGTCTTTAAGTTAAACTTTATATTTTGTGATAACTTTAGATTCACAGCCATGAAGGCACTTGGAAGGCTGTCCCGGCACTGTCCTGTTTTCCCATCTCTGCCAGTAAAATCCATCTTAGACCTTAGAACAAGTAAGGAAGAGATTCCTGGGGAACTTTCTACAATAATGGAGATTTTTCCACCATCAGAAAAGAACTGTGTGGGAACCACTTCAAAAGCCTTAGTTATCAGCACTTCAGGTCAGGAAATCAAATAATACCAAAATATTGAGCAGAATAAAACAAAGCATAGGTGTATGGCCATTTCTGCCTCACGAGTCTTGACCTGCTCTCTCGAGCAGACTATTTACAGCTGGTTTTTAAGATAAGCTCCAACATCATTTATGACTCAAAGGTGTTAATGCCTTTTTCTCTCTTGCTGTAAGTTACAAGGTCAGAATGGTCCCTGGTAAGCCTCTTTCATTCGCTTAATTGTTTTTAATGTTTATTTGTTTCTTTTTTTAATTTTTAATGTTTTTTTTTTATTTACTTCTGAGAGAGAGACAGTGTGGACAGGGGAGAGTCAGAGAGAGAGGGAGACACAGAATCTGAAACAGACTCCAGGCTCTGAGCTAGCTGTCAGCACACAGCCCGACGCGGCGCTCGAACCCACGAACCGTGAGATCATGACCTGAGCCAAAGTCGGACACTTAACCGACTGAGCCACCCAGGTGCCCCAATGTTTATTTGTTTCTTGAGAGAGAGAGAGAGAGAGAGAGAGAGCAGAATAGGGGCAGACAGAGATGGAGACACCGAATTCAAAGAAGGTTTTGTGCTGAGCTGTCAGCACAGAGCCCAATGCAGGGCTCAAACTCACGAACCCCAAGATCACAACCTGAGCCAAAGTTGGATGATCAACTGACTGAGCTACCCAGGTGCCCCCTCATTTAGGGGAGCAACCTCAATAAAACAGCCATTACCCTCAAATCAAAATCACACTTCACCACCCCACACCCCCCTGGTGTGACCACTGTAGCGGACTTTGCTATCTTAGCAGATTTTGATATTTTCCTCAGAACAGCTTTTAGCCAAATGTTGGCAGACCACTGAGCTTGACCATACATTCCTTCTTCCACTTTCCCATTGTTTTATATCTCCTCCTCTTCATCTTCCTCTCTCCTCCTCTCCCCACCCCTACTCTCCTGCCATTTCCAAAAACTACATCTTCATTGTCACCCTAAATAAAACCCCTCTCCTGTCTAGCCTCCGCTTGTCTGTAAAACCAAAGACTTAAATAAGGCAGGGTTCCAGGGGGCTGATCAAAATCCTTCAATCTGTTTGGTTGGTTGGTTTTGAATCTTTTTGTCTCTTAGTGTATGTCCAGGGTCTGAGTTACTAGTACCCAAGACCAGCTTTTCATTTTGTTCTCACCCTCATGAATCACAGAACTCCTTGTACTTGCAACTCATCCTGGGTCAGCGACCTCTCCCAAATTCTAGCCCTGTGGAACTCCCTCCTTTTAGCATCAGTAGGACACCCACCAACCAAACTGTCCTCTCTCTGTTCCTTTGGCAAAACTTTGCCAAACTTCAGAAAGGACAGAACGCTCTGTAATGAATGGTCTTTGTGGAATGTGAATGAAAAAGACATATGAGCCATTGTGGGAATGAAAAATATTTGCGCTGAAAATCCCATCTGTGTACATGATAATAAATTGATGCAAATTCTTATTTGGGTGAGTTTTTATAGCAGTGCACCAGCATGGACTCTTCTTAGATTTAGGGAATCATGTTCTTTCTCTTACTTGGACTCCTATTCTCTCTCCCCCTCTCCCACCAGTGCCTCCTCCCACAAGAGAGTATTACCAATTCCCAAAGCTAAATTTGCAACATGTGTGTCTATGGACCATAACTGTAATAAATGTTTTATGGGATGCTGGGGTTAGGGGATCCCATGCTACCTTCCCACAATCCCCTGCTATATCTAACACCAAGCATAAGGCTCTTCCTTTTTAATTGCCTGTGAAATGACTCCTGGGTCTCCCCTCTTTTACCCCAAACAGTTGCCCCTAAAACATAATGTTATTTGGCTTTTTGCCTTAGGTTCTAGCTTTCATTCATTCCATCCTCCTCTGCCTTCACTCTTCTTCAGCTCCTGAGGAGAATAGTGGGCACATCACGTGTCAAAGCCTTGCTGACAGAGGACTGATTGCATTATTTGTACTATAAGACTCGAAGCTTTCATTGGGGCCCACAGCTTTCATTCATTCATTCATTCATTCATTCAAGTGTTTAATGAGCACCTTCTAGACACTGAACACTGCTTGGGAGCACTGGAGACATAGCAGTGAGCAAAACAAAGTCCTCCCCTCTGGCTGACATTCTGGTACTGTCCTACATGGTCAATTCTTTTATGCAGTGTCTAGGGTATCTGTACCCTGCTCTGTGATCTCATGACATTGGCTGCATTTTGAGTCTCCATGCCTCTTAACTGGCCTATCTCATCTCTTCATCCTATCCAGTGCACCTTATATATGATCAGTGATCAGTGCGTGGAGACACAGTTCTGATTCTGATTATTTCCCTGCATCCAAAAAATAAAATCCGTCAAAGGCTTCCACACCCTCACCTCTGTTGCCTACCAAACAAATTCCTCACCCTTCAGTCTGTCATTTAAAGTCTTCCAAGATCAGGTTCCAATGCACTTTTGGAATGTTATCCTTCAGCAGTTCCCTTTTATGGACTCTATATTCTTTGCTACACCTTCTCAACTTGGAAATTGCTGCCTGGAATATTTTTCACCAAGTCTGCCTGTGAAAAGCCTCTCCACCCTTCATGGCCTAGGTCACACACTCTCCCCGACTGCAAGTTCTCTTTGGCTTCCTAATTTGCACAGCCTTTCCCACTCAGTCCCCTTCTGCCTCATGCTGTAGACCATTCCCTTAACTCTTAAGGTTAAGGCTCTTTAAGAGTTGCAAGTGGCTCCTTGGGAGCAACTAAGGACATTTTGTTTACCCTTTTGGGCTGTTTGCTCCCTCAGGTGAAGCTAGTCCTGTCTTCTGCAAGCAGAAAGAAAAATCTCAGCACATTGTCAAGGCTACTTTTCCTCAGTCACATCCCCATGTCTCTACCTGTGTGGGCAGACATGTAGTTAAGATCTGAGCTCATCGCTTGAGGTCATCACATGGCTTCTAAGTGTGTATAAGTCCATTTCTGCTTTCTCACTAGTGGATCTGGGGGACTGAATTTGTCCTTGTCATTTTACAGAGACATTCTTACCACCGCTCTCACTATGATCCCCCACCAAGCCGACAGGCTGGAGGTCTGCCCCGCTTTCCTGGGGCCAGAAGTCACCGAGGAGCTCTCATGGATTCCCAGCAAGCATCTGGCACCATTGTGCAGATTGTCATCAACAACAAACACAAGCATGGACAAGGTAAGGGGCACGCTCGTTGTGCCCCATCTACAGTCCCCTTCTTTGGATAGCTGGGCCTGAGAAGGGCCCTGTCTCCCATGCATATCAGACATTCATGTGAGGATCACTTACCATCAGGTCCCAAAGCGTGTGTGTGGACAAGCGACTCCAGGAGACTGTTAGGACTTCCCTAAAATGCAGCTCAAAGAGCTTAGTTTAGATTTCATGTGTACCTTCCCATACTTCGGACAAAAGGCAAGAAAGCCTTGAACCTAATGGAGCCTCTGGCATTTTCTTGGTTGCCCCAGGGGGTTTCAGGTCATTTGGGAAAGTTCTTTAGATCATTAACAGAACGAGAGCTTGTTTGTTGTCCACTTGGGCAGCCAGTACTCACAGGCACTCAGTGCCGAATGAAGCTCTATAGCCCCATACCTTAGAAGTAGTAGTTCTTACACTTCAGTGCACCCAAGACTCTCCCCGGGCCTCTTGCTAAAGATATATATTCCGGGCCCCACGCTCAGAGATTCTAATTCATATGAGGAGATTGTCATTGAAAATGTGTAATCCAGTAAGAAATCCAGAAATCTCCTGGCTGAGCACCAGGAGGACTGACCAGGTTAACACAGACATGCAGCCCACTCAGCTGACCGGCTGGCTAGATCAGGCACCCACACGTCCGCGGCCAGGTCTTTCCTGCTCAGAGTTCCCTGGACTCCACCACCACCCCAGTAGCGGGGGTGGGGAGAGAGGACAAATTCAATCAAACAATTGACTGTTTTTTACTTTTTTTAGGCATTGTGTCAACCAGCTCTTCAGAGCAAGAGCTCAGCTGGTTCCTTTTTATGAAACCACAAACATGTTTTGTTTCCTTTAAAGGAAAAACAAATCAAAGCCAGTTCTCTGAATGGGTTAAAAGTAATAAATTATTAAACCAAATGATTGAATAACACGGGTGAAAAACAATCCGTTACAAAGAACTCCTACTATAAATCTCAACAAAGCTGGTCAAACCAAAGCTAGTTGATCACAGCTGTTACTAGTTAGATGTAAATTTCAGATTACAGATAAAAAACATTGCATTGCTTTTGAAACTAACAGGCTTAAAAGAGGAACATGCAAAATAAAAGTCTTGATTAAAAAAAATGGCGATATATCCAAAGAAATGGAAATATTTAATATCGATCTGGGTTTGATTTGAAGCATATTATTTTTGAAGTCCAAGGCATCCTGATACAAATTTATGAAATGAGAAGAAGTAGGAGGTAAAGGTGCAGTTTGTTTTTCAATCCTAAATTGTCTCCAATAGATTCCATTTGCTCTGAGAGTATTTCAAAGCCTTAAAAAAAATCCTGCAGGGAAATGGACTTTGAAAATCTTAAATCCCATAATTTCCATAGGCCTCTTCATTTCGGGGCAGAGGCTCATCACATGATTTTCTCTGTGTCCTACAAAAGACTCAGCTGGTTTACATTTTTTCATTGCTCCCATTGATTTGGATGTAGCAGTTCCTTCCTGACCTTTCTATTATAGTTCACTGGAGAATCACTTGCCCCCACCCCCAACCACAATGCCCCAGCTGGATGATTCAAAATCGTCTCAAGAGTTTGTTGGTGGGGAAAAGGCTGTGTTTCCCTCTAAAGGGTTAACGTCCCACTATTGCATCTCAGAGTGCAGACTCACACCCAGTCTACCTTGTCCCCTTAGTCCAAATGGTTAGGGGAGAAGGAACCTAGCTATATAACACGGGGTCCTTCCCACCCTTCTTAGCATTCCTGCTAAAAGCATGCTCCTCTGAGACACATGTTCTTGGTCCCCTGCTTGAGTCAAAGAAGAGAAGCAATAGGACTCCACCATTTTAAACCTGAGTCCAGCCTCTGTTGGCGTGAAGCAGACAATGTACCCACTTGGCCACATTGTCTAGAAGGCAGTGTGACTGTCTCCAAAGATGACAGGAGAGGTGAAGGCAGGAGACAGAATGACATATCTGGCCTATCTTGTCATGGGATTCTGTCCACAGCCCTGAGCCTCACAGTCCACATGTCAAGTCCCTGTTCTATATCCCCAGAAGGTGGGGTGCTTCTCTGATTTGGGTGCCTGTGTTCTTGGAAATCTTTGTATGGATGGACCCCGCTAGAGTGCCCAGTACTCTAGCAGTTCTTGCAAAGGACAGGAAAAGGCAGCCAGCATCATCTATATTTCCTAATGTGACCCAGTGGACTTGAGGAGAAAGAAATAGCCCAATGATTCATCCTTCTGAGGCCATTGTCTTGCGGCCAAATCAGCCAATTCCTAGAAATGCCCCAAGTGGGGCTAGTTCTCCCACCCTAGCCCTGCCTTAAGTGATACAACCCACCCTAGAGATGTTGTTGATTGGGATGCCGACAGGTCTCCCTGGGTATGATGAGGTGATGGGAATAATGAGAAACACACCCAGTCCCAGTCATGGCTTTAAAATCTCCAGAATGTCTCAGCACTTTGAAAAAGAGAGACAGCTTATTCTCTGCTCTCCCCATTCGCAGCCCTGTATAGTTCTTAATCCTGGAGTTTAGCTCCATGCCTCATAGGAGGAGCCAGGTATATTTTGGCTGCTTTGCATTGGAGGGTGTTACCATGGCCCCTGCCCTTCATAGCCTCCGCCCACACTCCCGCCTGGCCTCCAGCTCTTCAGATGCTGGCTCCTGCAAGGCCCCTCATAAAACATGGAGCCAGTGATTTCACTTCTGGTTCAGCAAACAGGAGACCACCAGTTTATCTGTAGGACAGGCACTGACTCACTGTTGCTGAATCTCTGTAGCCACTGTGAGACAGGGGCCAGAGGACACTGCCTGAAATGTAGAGGCATGAAAGGCTACCTTCCATGATCCTTTCCCTCTTGAATTCATTTTAGTGCCTTCCTTCCCATGCCAAAGAGCAGGCAGGCACCATTACCTCCACACCTGTCTGTGTTGGTGGATCAGACTCTGAATAGCATTTGATTTGCTTCAGGATCTGGAAGAAATTGACCCTTTGGGAAGAGTGGTAGTTTCTTCATCCAGCCTCCCTGGGCAGCCAAGCTCTCTGGAGAATTTTCATGCCAAGAAGCATATCCACTTGAGCCATGCACATCTTTATGAAACTTCAGGGATTAACACTACAGTCTCTTAGAGGTTTCTTATCCCAGAGATACCCAGGACAGTTGGAACCCTACTGTCATGCACTGGTACATTCTTCCATTTTAAGAAATATTTATCGACTGCTTACAAGGTACCAGGCACTTACGAGCATCCAGAAGACCCTGATCAAAGACCCTGAATGGTTGCTAATTGTATAATAGGAACCAAGTTTTTGTGGTTATAGAGACTGCCCTGTAAATGTAAGTCCACAGCCATGAAAAGGGCGAAGGATGCTTGATGTCTGAAGAGGTTCAGAATTTGGGTTGTGAGCACAGGGGCCTGTTTCAGCGCCCTAGCCTTTAATTTCCAGCCCTGTGTTCTCTTCCAGTGTGTGTTTCCAATGGAAAGACCTATTCCCATGGCGAGTCCTGGCACCCCAATCTCCGGGCATTTGGCATTGTGGAGTGTGTGCTGTGCACTTGTAACGTCACCAAGCAAGAGTGTAAGAAAATCCACTGCCCCAACCGGTACCCCTGCAAGTATCCTCAAAAAATAGATGGAAAATGCTGCAAGGTGTGTCCAGGTAAAAAGGCAAAAGGTGCGTTGGTTGGAAGCCCAGCCTTTGGCTAACTGAGATCCCCACATAGTCCTTCTCAATGTTCTTTGAGCATCAGAAACCTCATCAGCCTTCCATATCCTTGTAATGATACTAGTTCTAACAATGAACTTCATTCTCTCCCCTCTTGAAGGGCTGATAAGATGGATTCTTGGAAGAAATTTACTACTCAGAAATAGACTGGGTTTTTTTTTCCATATCTACTACACCTTTAGCCCCATGTAGCCCCAGGTGCCAGACTTAAGCCTGGCTTTTCTAAATTATAGAGAAATTGGAGTATGAGGATTATACAGAAGAACAGTAGCACCTTTCATTGATGTCACTATTTCACTCATCAAAGTACAATCACATCCACTACCCTTTTGAGACAGGATGGGAGACAGGTGAGGTAGAGAGGAAGGAAAGTGGGTTCTGGTCCTGAGCTAAGTTGCTATGTGACCTTGGAAAGGTGACAGATCTGTTCTGGCCTTCATAAGCCTCATCTGCACAAGGAAAAGTTTGGAAGAATTAATCTCCAAGCTACCATCCAACACTACAATTTAATAATGATATTATCATTGCTCTATTGAAGATAAGAAAACCAAAATGCATAGAGTGACGTGCTCTGAATCACACAAAGAGATAAATAAAACCAAGTTTTGGAATTCAGGCCACTCATAGCCCATTGTCTTTTCCAGGCCAGGAGATAGTATTAACTGATTTTTTAAAAAGCAAATTCATAGTGGTTCTAACACATATGAACTAGATTAAAATATAGTCCATACTGTTGGGATTGACAGCATAGGGGATTGGTGATCAAGCATTCTAATCCTGGCTCTTCAACTGGTTTTCTGTGTGACCTAGAAAAAGTCACTTCACCATTCTGAGCTTCAGTTTCCTTCTCTGCAAAAGGAGGGTTAGAGTAGAGGATTTCTTAGGGCCTTTCCCACTCCAACATTCTAGGAGTGAATGAATGAGTCATTTCCATGCACATGAATTCATCATTTCTTTTTTAAAACTTTTTTCATGTTTATTAATTTTTTAAAATAGTTTATTGTCAAGTTGGTTTCCATATAACACCCAGTGCTTATCCCCACAAGTGGTCTCCTCAATGCCCATCACCCCACTTCCCATCCCCCCCACCCCCATCAGTCCTCAGTTTGTTCTCGGCATTCAAGATCTTTGAAGGAGAGAGAGACAGAGCATGAGCAGGGAAGAGACAGAGAGAGAAGGAGACACAGAATCTGAAGCAGGCTCTAGGCTCAGCTGTCAGCACAGAGCCCGACGTGGGGCTTAAACCCACAAGCTGTGAGATCATGACCTGAGCCGAAGTCGGACGCTTAACGAACTTCGCCACCCAGACGCCCCAAATTCATCATTTCTTATGCCTACTTGCAGAGCATTTTTGTAAACACAGATGAAACCCCAAAAAACTTTAAAAGTAGGCAGAGAGCTCAATCATTTATTCCTTCAACTTACAGTTAGTTCCTCATGATTAGCAGGCAAACATGAACTTAGCCAGAGTATATTTTTTGAGCATCTTCATGTAGGTCAGTGGTTCCCAAACTTCTCTACACTTTGGGACTCCCCGGGAAAGCTTCTAAAATAGCTGTGTCCCATCCCCAGAGATTAGGATTTAATTGATTTCAGGTGTTGCTTGGGCAACAGCATTTTTAAAAGATCCTCAGTTGATTTTAATGTGCAGACAAATTTGAGAAGCACTGCTGAAGGCCCAGGGTGGTTTATGGCTTTCCTACTCTAAGTGTGATTTGTGGACCAGAAGCACTTAGAAGCTAGTTAGAAGTGCAAACTCTCAGGTCCCACCCCAGACCTACTGCATTAGAATCTTCATTCTAACAAGACCCCCCAGTTGATCCCCATGCACGTTAAAGTATTAGAAGCATTTATTAATGGCACAAACAAAATCCATCTTGGTGTGATGACCCACATCTACCAGAGTAAACAGCAGGTAGGATTGGATAGGAAGGACAGGGCTTATCTGATATGGAGTAGAAAATTGGGGCATTAAAATTGATGAAACAAATTTCCATTGACTGATGAATGGATGAAGAAAACGTGGTATATACATACAATGGAATATTATCCTATGATTAAGAAGAATGAAATCTTGCCATTTGCAGCAATGTGGGTGGAACGAGTATATCATACTAAGCGAAATATGTCAGAGAAAGAGGAGTATTATATGATTTCACTCATGTGGAAATTAAGAAACAAAAGAGATGAGTATAGGGGAAGGGAAGGAAAAATAAGGTGAAAACAGAGAGGGAGACAAACCATAAGAGACTCTTAAATACAGAGAACTAACTGAGGATTGCTGGAGAGGAGGTGGGGAGATGTGCTAAATAGGTGATGGGCATTATTAAGGAGGGCACTTTTTGGGATGAGTACTGGGTGTTATATGTAAATGATGAATCACTAAATTCTACTTCTGAAATCATTACTACACTATATAGGACTAACATAAAATTAAAATTTTAAAAAGTTTTTTAAATAGTTTATTGTCAAGTTGGTTTCCATATAGCACCCAGTGCTCATCCCCGCAAGTGCCCTCCTCCATGCTCATCTTCCCCCTTCCCCTCTCCCCCATACTCATCAGTCCTCAGTTTCTTCTCAACATTCAAGAGTCTCTCATGGTTCCCTCCTTCTTCTCCCCCACGGTCCTCCATTAAGTTCCTCCTACTCCTCCTATACGTGCAAACATATGGTATTTGTCCTTCTCTGCCTGACTTATTTCGCTCAGCATAACACCCTCAAGGTCCATCCGTGTTGCTACACATGGCCAGATTTCATTCTTTCTCATTGCCAGGTAGTATTCCATGGTATAGATAAACCACATCTTCTTGATCCATTTGTCCATTGAAGGACACTTAGGCTCTTTCCATGTTTTGGCTATTGTAGAGAGTGCTGCTATGAACACTGGGGTCCATGTGCCCCTATGCATCAGCACTCCTAGATCCGTTGGGTAAATTCCTAGCAGTGCTATTGCTGGGTCATAGAGGAGTTCTAGTGTTAATTTTTTGAGGAACCTCCACACTGTTTTCCAAAGGGGCTGCACCAGTTTCCATTCCCACCAACAGTGTAGGAGGGTGCCCATTTCTCCACATACTCGCCAGCATCTGGAGTCCTCTGATTTGCTCATTTTAGCCACTCTGACTGGCGTGAGGTGGTATCTCAGTGTGGTTTTGATTTGTATTTCCCTGATGAGGAGGGATGCTGAGCATCGTTTCATGTATCTGTTGGCCATCTGGATGCCCTCTTTGGAGAAGTGTCTGTTCCTATCTTCTGCCCATTTCTTCACTGGGTTGTTTGTTTTTCGGGTGTGGAGTTTGGTGAGTTCCTTATAGATTTTGGATACTAGCCCTTTATCTGATATGTCATTTGCAACTATCTTTTCCCATTCCGTCGGTTGCCTATTAGTTTTATGGATTGTTCCCTTTGCCATGCAGAAGCTTTTAATCTTGATGAGGTCCCAATAGTTCATTTTTGCTCTTGATTCCCTTGCCTTTGGGGATGTGTCAAGTAAGAAATTGCTGCGGTGGAGGTCAAGGAGGTTGTTTCCTGCTTTCTCCTCTAGGGTTTTGATGGTTTCCTGTCTCACGTTCAGGTCCTTTATCCATTTTGAGTTTATTTTTGTGTCTGGTGTGAGAAAATGATCTAGTTTCATTCTTCTGCAGGTTGCTGTCCAGTTCTCCCAGCACCATCTGTTAAAAAGGCTGTCTTTTTTCCATTGGATACTCTTTCCTGCTTTCTCAAAGATTAGTTGGCTGTATACTTTTGGGTCCAATTCTGAGTAATCAATTCGATTCCATTGGTCTGTGTGTCTATTTTTGTGCCAATACCATACTGTCTTGATGATGACAGCTTTGTAGTAGAGGCTTAAGTCTGGGATGGTGATGCCTCCTGTTTTGGTTTTCTTCTTCAATATTACTTTGGCTATTCGGGGCCTTTTGTGGTTCCACACAAATTTTAAGATAGTTTGTTCTAGTTTTGAGAAGACTGTTGGTGCCATTTTGATTGGGATTGCATTGAATGTGTAGATTGCTTTGGGTAGTAATGACATCTTAACTATATTTATTCTTCCAATCCGTGAGCATGGAATGTTTTTCCTATTCTTTGTGTCTTCTTCAATTTCCTTCATAAGTTTCCTATAGTTTTCATCATACAGATCTCTTATATCCTTGGTTAGGTTTATTCCTAGGTATTTTATGTTTTTTTTGTGTGTGTGCAATTGTGAATGGGATCAATTTCTTGAGTTCTCTTTCTGTTGCTTCATTGTTGGTGTATAAAAATGCAACCGATTTCTGTAAATTGCTTTTGCACCCTGCAACTTTGCTGAATTCTTGGATCAGTTCTAGTAGGCTTCTTGTGGAGCCTGTCAGGTTTTCTATGTAGAGTATCATGTCGTGTGGGAAAAGTGAAAGTTTGACTTCTTCTTTGCCAGTTCTGATGCCTTTGATTTCCTTTTGTTGTCTGATGGCTGATGCTAGGACTTCCAGCACTATGTTAAACAACAGTGGTGAGAGTGGACATCCCTGTCGTGTTCCTGATCTCAGGGGGAAGGTTCTCAGGTTTCCCCCATTGGGGATGATGTTAGCTGAGGGCTTCTCATAGATGGCTTTTATGGTGTTTAAATAAGTTCCTTCTATCCCGACTTTCTTGAGGGTCTTTATTAAGTAGGGATGCTGTATTTTGTCAATGCTTTTTCTGCATCTATCGACAGGATCATATGGTTTTTATATTTTCTTTTGTTAATGTGTTGTCTCACATTGATTGATTTGCGAATATTGAACCAGTCCTGTAACACAGGAATGAATCCCACTTGATCATGGTGGATAATGCTTTTTATGTGCTCTTGAATTCGATTTGTAATTATCTTGTTGAGGAATTTTTCATCTGTATTCATCGAGGATATTGGCCTGTAGTTCTCTTTTTTGCTGTATATCTGTCTGGCTTGGGAATCAAAGTGACTCTGGCTTCCTAAA